TCAGTTAAGTGTCTGACCCTTGATTTTGGCTCAGGTCATGATCTTACAGTTTTGTGTGTTCAAGCCCTGCATCGGGCTCAGTGCTGGCAGCGCAGATCCTGCTTGGGACTCTTTCTCCCTCTCTCTCTGCCCCTCCCCTGCTCACACTGTCTCTGTCTCTCTTAAAAATAAATGAAAACTTAAGGAAAAAAAAAAAAAACTAGCCCTGGGCCCAATGGTAGAGGCCAAGTCAAAGGAAAAAAAGTATAAGTCTTATGGTTAAGCAACTGTGTTTAATAAAAAAAAAAAAGGTACAACATCCACTTTAGTGTGTATTTAATGTTTGCTTCAGGTGAGCTGCTTTAGAATCTATGCATATAATAAAAGACCGGAAGGAGATATGTCAAAATGTTAACTGGAGTTACCCCTGGGCAGAAGTGATTTATTCTCTTTTTGTTTGCCTACATTTTCCTACCTTAACCAAATATTACTTTTGTAATTTGGAAAAGTTATTCCAAAATACAGCTAATCACTGTTTATATTGATAAATGAGTCTTAGTCTTGCCTTGTCAGGGTCAGACCTCTTCCCCACTGGTCCAGCCCCTGTCTGGGACTTAGTAAGCATCTCTTGAATGACTCAGTGAACATAAATATTAACCCTGGGCATTTGGGAAATGTAAACCTTAGTTCCCTGAGACTCTGGTAATAAGGTTGAAACTTTTTTGGTGTTATAGAATCAGGCTTTTGTGCCAGGGTCAGAGAGCTTCAGAAGGAATGAGGCTTGGAATGAGAAAATCACTGGAGTGTATAAGAATGGCTGGAAAGCAATGGTGAATCCACCCCGAGGCAGGTAGACGCTGGGCTGGCCTGGGCTTGATTTCCCACCTCTGCCATTTATGAGCAGTGTGACCTTGGGAAAATCCCTTAACCTCTCTGAGCCTCCTTTTTCTCTCATAAAGTGGTGAAATAGTAGGACTCATCTGGTCAGGTTGCTGGGAGCATTCAGCGAGCTCTTGTGACCAGTTAAATATTATCCTTATCACATTATCAGATGGATGCTCCCCAGACTTCTGGGGTCAGCGAGCTCACCCCTTCTCAGCCCTGCCCTGTGAGCAGCGCAGGCTTTTCTATCCTTGCTGCCCTCGTCACCACCCCCCCTACTTCTTACAGTGCTCCTGTGCTCTTTGCCCTCTGTGCTGTGGAGAAGCAGGACCGTGTGGCAGCAAAGCCCACAGGTTCCAGCCCAGAGCTGGCCAGTAGAGATTAATGCGAGCCATAAAGGTCATTCTAAATTTGCTTCCTTAAAAAAGTCAAAAGGAAAGATGAAATTGATTTGTAAAACATTTTTGTAATTAATTTCATTTTATCATGTAATTTTTTTAATTAATGAGATATTTTACATTTTTTTCATACTAAGTCTTCAAAATCTGAAGTGTGTTTTATATTTTTATCACATCCTTTTTATTTTTTTTAATTTTTTTTTTTAACATTTATTTATTTTTGAGACAGACAGAGACAGAGCATGAATGGGGGAGGGGCAGAGAGAGAGGGAGACACAGAATCGGAAGCAGGCTCCAGGCTCTGAGCCGTCAGCCCAGAGCCCGATGCGGGGCTCGAACTCACGGACCGCGAGATCGTGACCTAAGCTGAAGTCGGACGCTCAACCGACTGAGCCACCCAGGTGCCCCTATCACATCCTTTTTAAAAAAATAATAAGTTACACTTTTTAAAATACATTTTATTTCTTTATTTATTTTAAGTAAGCTCTATGCCCAACATAGGACTAGAAGTTACCACCAGAGATCAAGAGTCAGATGCTCTACTGACTGAGCCGGCTCAGGCGCTCCAGGTTTTGTTTTTGTTTTTGTTTTTTTAAAGATGTCTGATTCTTTTTTCTTTAAAGTAATCTCTGTGCCCAACATGGGGCTCAAACTCACAACCCCGAGATCAGGAGTTGCATGCTCTTCCCACTGAGCCAGGTACAGGCCCCCATATATCCCAAATTGATTCCGACTAGCCTTTTTCAAATGTGGCTAGTGGCTACCATATTGGACCTCATGGTTGTAGATTCTAGACAATGCTGTCCTACAAAACTTTCTGTATGTGTGCTGCCCAAAGCAATATGCACTAACCACAAGTGGCTAGTGAGCACTTGAAATGTGGCTGCTATAACTGAAGAACTGAATTTTTCATTGAACTTAATTTTAATTAGATTTAACTTTCCTTAATTTTAATTTAGAGCCACATTGCCAGTGTTAGTAACCATTTTCTGCACAACCTTGGGAAAATTATTAAACGCCCTCGCCCCTCAGTTTTTTCCTTTATGAAATGGTGATAACGAATAGTTTCTCTTAAGATGTTCTATCTTGTAAGATTTTCTCATGAGGAACACAGAACAGGGACTAGTACATAGAAAGCTCTCCATAAATTTTAGCTATACTTTTGTAAAGATATTTTTCCCCATGTTTATTTTTTAAGATTTTTTTAAATTTTTTTTTTTCAACGTTTTTTATTTATTTTTTTGGGACAGAGAGAGACAGAGCATGAACGGGGGAGGGGCAGAGAGAGAGGGAGACACAGAATCCGAAACAGGCTCCAGGCTCCGAGCCATCAGCCCAGAGCCTGACGCGGGGCTCGAACTCACGGACCGCGAGATCGTGACCTGGCTGAAGTCGGACGCTCAACCGACTGCGCCACCCAGGCGCCCCAAGATTTTTAAAAAGGCTTTTATTTATTTTTGAGACAGAGACAGAGCATGAGTGGGGGAGGGGCAGAGAAAGAGGGAGACACAGAATTTGTACCAGGCTTCAGGCTCTGAGCTGTCAGCACAGAGCCCGACATGGGGCTCAAACCCATGAGCCATGAGATCATGACCTGAGCTGAAGTCCAACGCTCACCCGACTGAGCCACCCAGGTGCGCCTGTTAGCTATAGTCCTTGCCATGCCTTCGATGTGTTTACAGCCAAATGGAGCACATAGGATACGTCCAGCTGAGAAACATTATTAACCACAGAAACAGAAAACCACAGCGTAGGGATGTACAGAGGTATGCTATGTTACCTAAAGGAGGCTAACCAATGTCCACCTAGCACCAGATTATGTACTTAATATCAAAACTAATTGTTTCTCTAGAAAATGTGATTTTTGTTTCAATTAGAAATATTAACACATTAAAGATTTGACTCAGTTCTCAGGGTCAAAGGATATTTAAGCCCACCAAAGAAACACAAATGAGTGGTTTAGGAAGTAAGGGGAGGTCTCCTTGATGGCATGCAGGCCCAGGTTGGTTCCTTTTCCGTCATTGATGAGCTAAGTGACTCTAGGCAGGCTGCAGTGCCTCTCTGAGCCTCAGTTTGCTTATCTCTAAATTGGAGCTCATAACATCTGCCTCCAAAGACTGGAAGATTAAATGTGATAATGTATATGAGACACTCCCCAGTACCTGGCACATACCAAGAGCTCATTTGCTATTATTATGATTTTTAAAATGAATAATCAAAGTAGCATCTTGTCTTTAAACAAATGAAGATTGCCTGAAGCTTTAGGGAAAGTAAAATGCTGCTGATATTCCTGCCCAGAAACAGAATGTCTGTGTTCTCCCATGGAGGGCATGCAAGGTGACCTTGGAGGCAGAAGCAAGGTCAGAGTGATCCTGGGGAGTTCCTTACCTGTGTGGGGGTCCAACAGGTTTGACAGCTCTTCTTCTAGCAGCTGCTTCACAGAGAGATCATCTTCAGAATCCAGGGGCCCTTCCTCCTGGTCTGGTTCTGCCTGGCTACCAGCCCTGGCACCTGGGCCATCTGTGTCTGGGACTATGCTCCTACAAAGGAAGCCAACCAGTCCATGAGTGAGGAAATTCACACATAGATTCATTCATTCCTGTTCATGAACATTCTTCTATTCATGCCAGCATTCATTCCTTCACATAAGGAACTGGATACACAGCTCGGCCTTCAGAGTCAGACGAACTGGATAACTTGGTCCCAGGCCTCGTGCTACTACTCTGAGTCTGTTGCGTCATCTCTAAAATGGGGATAATAACCCCCACCTCAAGGGGCACGTGAGGGTAAAATGAGACATCGTATGTAAAGAAATCAGTACAGTGCCTGGCACCTTGCAAGCACTCAGCAAATAGAAATAACAATGAATGCGTTGATGTCATTACTCACCATTGTCCCTCCCACTCCTTCGCAATGCCTGGCCCAAAGTAGGAGCAGAGTAACTTTGGTCGAGACAATGCAGTCACCCATCCATCCATCTATCCATCCACCTCCGTCCATCTGAGTATGAGCTCCAGTGAGGGCAAAGATTTTTGTCCGCCTCATTCCCCGCTCACCAGTGCTCAAAGCAGGGGTTGGCTTAAGTACAAAGTAGGTGCTTAATAAACACTTTGTGGACAAAGTGACTGAATATTCCATATTCCCTATTTGAAACCAAATCCCAGACCAGAAGAGCAGGGCAGCAGAAGATGTAGCTAAGGTGAGAAATCCAAAGGCCACTTGGACTCTACCTGACTCCTGCTGTCCCCATCCTGGCCTCTCCCTCCTGCAAACCCTGCCTACCACTTGGGGAGGCTATTTCTCGGGACTGCCTCAGTATGGCAGGACAGGTCTGGCCCCACATCCCAGCAGGTGGGAAGGCTCCCTGAGGAGCTTTAAGGTCTGGGCATCTTTTCTGCCTTTTTTCTGTGACCATTCCTGCTGTCATGAAGCAATCAGCAGGGAGGTGACAAGTTTGCAATAATGATGACAACAACTAATGTTTATTAAGCAATTACTCTGAGTCAGGCCTTAGGTTTTGCAAGGTATGTGCACCTTCTCAGACTTGTCACATCTGTAAGGGGTTCTCTTGTTATTATTCCCATTTTGCAAATGAGAAAACCAATCAGTGGTGCTCTCCACACCTCCCACCATCTTTGCAAAGAAGAAGGTATGAGTTGTCAAGGCAAGAGCACTGAACCTGGAGTCAGGTGCCCCAAGCTGGTCCCAGCTTTGCCACTCACTGGTTATGTGACCATGAGCAAAGTCACTTTAGGAGGAAAGGATTGAGCATTGGTTATGCACCTACTGTGTGCCAGTCACTGGGCTGTGGGCCTCGAGTAAATCTGATCATTAAATCTTTACCCCATCACTGCAAGGAAGTGTGATGACCTTCATTTTACAGATTAGAAACTGAGGCCTGAGGATTTATCTGGCTTGCTCAAGTTTAACACAGAGAGGTCGGATCAAACTACTTAGAGCTCCAGTTTCTACATCTGTAACAAAAAAGAATTATATTAGATGTCCCCTTGAGGTCTTTTTAATTCTAGGAGTGTCCAAAAGAACACATCCACACACCCATATCCTTAGCTGGGGAGTCCTTATATTATGTTTAAGGGTCAAGAGAAAGAAAGCTGAAAGTTACACATTTAAAGCCCTAGCCCAGCACCTCTGCAATCAGGGGATAGATAGAGCCTCAGGGATGAAGTCATTTCCTTAGAGACTCTGGGTCCTATAAATACTATAAATACAGTTGCTCCGGGACCACGCTGCCTGGAATGGGGGGATGGATGCAGTCCGGTGCTCTCCCAGGGGACTGCTGTCTGGGATGTGCTCACCCCTCCTCAGATCACAGAGGCCGCAGGGGTGCACGCGAGCCGGTGGGGGGCTCAAGAAGCCTGTGGGTACATGTGCTGCTTACCTGCCGCCGCTGGGCTTGGCCAAGTACTTATTTCCCCGGTGGTTTGGTTTGGGCTGGAATTGGCCCTGATGCAGCAAGGACAGCAGCTGGGAGATTTGCTGCAAGACAGGAAAAATCTGTTGACTCCACACAATTCCGACCCAGCACACTTCCTTGCCGGATGTTTCCCTCAATGCCGGCGCTTTCTTTTTATAGTCTTTCCTCCAGCTTCAGATGTTTGTGTGATCAGATGGGGGATGGTGACCAGTGACGGAGGCAGGGACCTGTGCAGGCAGGTTCCTTGTTTTGTCCTGTCACCACAGGACATGGGTGTCTGAGGGAGAGAATGGGGACCCCCTGGGCCCATCCCCTCATTCTCATTCTCAGTGACCTGCTCCCGCTGGAATCTGTGGGATGGGGGTGAAAAGGGCATTTCCTGACCATAAATTCATTATTACTTTGATAAGCATTGTCTGAAGGTGTTATTTCCATGCCTTTAGCAGTATGCAAACACTCAGACCGCAAGACTCTGCTGTGGAGAAAGCAAAATGTATCATTCATTCGTTCATTCATTCAGCAAGGGTAAGAATGAGAACAGAAGGCACTGCAAGCTGAAAGCCCAGAGGAGACCGTAGAGGTTCAGAAAGGCTGGACAGTGGAGCAGGGGGTGAATGAGATGTCAGGACCAGACCCTGCAGGGACTTTTGAAAGAGAAGGCAACAGACCAAGTCTTGGGAAGCTGAGTTCTAGTTCAAGGTCATTTCTAGTATGTGTAACGTTAGGCAGGTTTTTAGACATACTCAGACCTCAGTTCCCTCATTTCTAAGTTGGAGCTGGAAATACCCATCCAGCCTTCTTCACCGGGTTGTCAGGATTAATGGTTTTAAATTTTTTTAATGGTTTAATGGTTTAAATTTTTTAATGGTTTTTAAATTTTTTAAAGGGTTGTTACTCCTAGAAACACTGCCTCTGGCTCCTGGGCCTACCCCCACTTTTCCCTGAGAAGGCCCACTTGGCCTCTCTGGGCAGCTCCAGCTAGAAAGTGTCAAAACCACAGAGGACAGTTGGAAGAGGAAGTGGTAAGGGCTGGGGTCTCACTGTGACTTGGGAGAGTCAGTGTCCAGTTGCCTGCTTCAGGGCAGATCCCACCTCTCTGCCAGGGCCCAGAAGCCCTCCTAAGGCACCTGCCACTCTTCCGAGGGTTAGCTGATGTTTCAGGGACAGTCCCCGACTGCCACGCCCTGAACATAGTGCTGTCATTCAGAGTCACTTCAATGTTAGAGTGCAGACTCTGGAATCAGTCGGACTTGGATTCAAATTCTAAATCTGCCCCTGCTCCAGTTCCAACTGGATGGCCTTGAGAAATTAAGCATTTTGAGTCTCGGTATCCTCAGCGGTCAAAAGGGAATGATAATGAGGCCCAGGTGGTTGTAGTTATAAGGATTAAATGAGTGAAGATATATAATTCATTTATTTACTTTTCTTTAAAGTAATCTGTCTATTCAGCATGGGGCTCGAACCCACAACCCTAACATCGAGAGTCACATGCTCTACCAACTGAGCCAGCCAGGCACCCCTATAATTCATTTATTAATAGATCTTATGATAATCACTTAAAAACTGTAGGGGTGGTGTATAATCTCATTTAATTTTTACAATAACCCTAGGGACGAGATACCACCATTAGACCCATTATGCAGATGTGGAACATGAGGCTCACAGGGCCTACATAGCAGTTAGAAACCGGGCTACAATTTGATCCCAGATCTGGCTCTGCTGTGGCTGCTGGAAAGACCTGAGCATTAAGCAAGCTGCCTCTTTCCGTCAAGTTGATCCCAGCTGGGCACCCTTCTTTCCATCACCCCGGTGGGTTCAACCACAGTCCCTGTTCTCTGCTATCTCTGCTAGCACAGTGTTTGGCTCAAAAAGCTTCCTCAGTAAGCATTTGACGAATGAATGAATAAATGAACGAACAAATGAATGGCTCTGGGCAACCTCTGGGGCTACATAGGTCCCAGGGCAAGACTCCTAAGAGAGGAGCCGGGCTCTCACCAGGTGGCTTCCTGGGGAGGGTGTAGGGGAAGGAAGCTGTGTCCTTGCTCCACAGGAAACCTGAGCCAATGGCCTGGCCAAACAGAAGTGTGCCTTGAGTGGGCAGCCTGGCACAGGGAAAGTTATCTGAAGTGGAGAGGAACAGATATGGGTGTGAGATAAGTTACAGTCTCTGAAAAAGATTTCCCATTTTTGTCTAGCAAATCCCTGGTCGCTAGATACTTTGTCCTTCATTATCCCATTTGATCCTCAACCCCTGGGAGGTAGACGCAGGGTAATTTTGGCATCATAATTGCCATTTAATAGATGAGGAAAGGGGGGCTCTGATATTGACAGACTTGCCCAAGATTGCCCAGCTACTAAGTGGCTATGCTGAAATTTAAACCCAGATCTGCCAGACTCCCAAGTTCTGAGATTGTTTCCACTGCCCCATTCTACAGACCTCGCCAGCAAAGTCTAGTCTTAGGCAAGTCAAATGCAGCCTTTGAGCCCGGGGGCAATGATGCCCATGCTGGCCTGCTTCATGGGGAGGCTGCCCAGATAAGAAGAGATGAAGAGCTTTTGCAGAAGTAATCGTAACCATTTGCTGAGTGCTCACTATGTGCCAGACATTATTCTAGGCTTTAAGTGCACTCATTTCATCTTCAAGCAAATTTAGGAGATGGGTACAATTAACGCAGGCGTCTTCAACAACAGAGAAGCTGAGTAATGTTCCTTTGGTTCTCAGCTAAGAAGAGGTGGGGCCAGGATTTGAACCCAGGCAGTCTGAACCCAAAGCATGTATTCTTAGGCGTGCCTGTTGCTGTGTGTCTACTTGACAGACCCTAAGTAAGTGCTTTTATAAGAACCAATTAAGTCCTCAGGACAGCTCTCCAAGACAGATGCTCTTACCATCATCTCTGCTTTACAGAGAGGGAAACAAAGACTCAGAGATAGCAAGTAAGGTGCCCAACAGCTAAATTCTGTTGACCTCAGAACTGTGCCCTGACCCACTGCATCCAACATACCGTAAAGTCCCTAGTGAGCCCAAGGAATGCATGTGATGAAGGTGAGGGTAATGGGGGTGTCTGATGTGGTGGTCCAGGGGTGACCACAGAGAGAGCTGCCCACACCCAAGGTACCTGAACAGGAGGGGAATCCATCGTGAGTTCCTCCACAGGGTTCCGCTCTGCAAAGGCAGCCACAGATAGCCGGACCAGGCTCCGCAGGATCTGACGGGGACCTGTCTCTTTCTCAGGGGTCACTTTGCCATTGAGATTCCGCTGCCGCCTCAGGGTTGCAGAGGAGGCCGGTGGACTCAGTGGAGCCTCCTCGCTGCCTGCGTCTCCTGGCAGCCTCCCTGCGGGGCTGCCCATAGCCTTTGGGGGCCTTGAGCGTGGCTGGCCCATCACAGGCTGGGACTCAGGAATGTTCAGGTTCTCCCTGGAGGCGTTCCTCTGCCTAGGATGATGGAAAAGGAGGTTGACAGTGTCCTGCAGCACCTCTTGGCTCTCAGCCAATGCTCCCTGGTTGCCTTGGTTACGCAGGGTCCTGTACAGGGTTGGAGTGAGGTGAAAGGGGGCCTGTAGGCAGGGGTCCCAGCCTGCTTCCATCGTCCCTTCCTTGCCTGCCTCCTGGTGGGGCTGCCCAACCTCGCTGGGCTCATCCACCTGACCCCTGAGCACAGGCACAAGGTGGATGTCTGCCTTCTGAATGTGTTTCTGGGGCCTCTTGGGCTGGTGGCGATAGGTAGACTTAGCCTCCCGACAGTTGTACACCCCACTGTCCTTCTTCTCTGTCCGGCAGATGGACATGATCAGAGCCAAGACCAACCCAAAGATGGCCAGAAGTACGACCAGGCAAATCACTGTCAGCACCGATGTGCTCAGGGTCCCAGGCTCACGGGCCCTGTCCCTCAAGTGGTCCACACTGGTGACAAACAAGACGCTCAACAGGGCTCGGGTCTGCAAGGAGGGGCTGCCACGGTCTTCTACCACTACCTCCAGCTCCCACTCACTCCCAATGAGACTGCTGGCATTGGTGATGTTGATGAACAACTGCCCCAGGTGGGGGTTGAGAACAAAGAGACGGGCTTCATTTCCACTCCTAATACTGTAGAGGAGCTCTCCATTTGCACCTGAGTCTGCATCTCTTGCTACAATTGTTGTCAAAAGGAACAGCCGGGAACTGTGGGTTGTCAGTGGCGTTGTATCAGCACCCACTGGACCCAAGCCATTAGGAGTTTCAACGGGTACCAGAAGGTGGCCTGTGGAGGCATTTACGAGCACTGAGAGGCTGGCTTTTCCATCAACGAGGACAGGATGAATCACCTCTGGGGCATTATCGTTGACATCCAAGAGGCTGACCCACACAGAGACGCTGGATGCAAGTTGAGGCTGCCCCCAGTCCTCTGCGATCACGCGAAACTCAAAACCAGCCATGTGTTCATAGTCCAGTGACCTCCGAGCAGTGACCTCTCCTGTGTCTGAATCAATAGCTACCAAGTGAGAAACTGGGGATTCCTGGATACGGTATGAGATTTTTCCATTAATGCCCAAGTCTGCGTCATGAGCCTTGATGGTAATGAGGTGAAGAGAAGGTAGGTTGTTCTCCCGAGTAGAGACCTCATACCTGCTCTTCTCAAACACAGGTGCATTGTCATTGGCATCACTGATGTGAATGCTGAGCTGTTTTCTGGCTGATAAGGGCTGGGGTCCTTGGTCTTGAGCCAACAGAGTGAGGGTATATTTGGGCCACTGCTCTCTGTCCAGTGTGGTGTTGGTTAGTAGCATGTATGTGTTGCCATTTGTCCTTTTCAGTCTAAAGTGACCCAGTTCTTGGCTCAGCCAACAGTGGACCAGACCATTATTTCCTGAGTCCAAGTCATTTGCCATGACGAGAGCAATGAAACTATCCTTTGGAAGAGCCTCTGATACCAGTGATGGCTGGGAGGCCCATGTAATGTGGATGCTTGGGGCATTGTCATTGACGTCCAGAACCTTGATGAGTACTTTGCAATGGGCTGGGATGGGATTGGGACCCAAGTCCCTTGCCTGGACATCCACCTCATATGCAGGATTCTTCTCGTAGTCTAGGGGTTGACGCAGAATCACCTGGCCCGTCTTTGCATCGATACTGAAGGTGTCCAGCACCTCTGGAGGCACGTGCTTACTGAGGAAGAACTCCACCTCCCCATTGGGGCCTTGATCAGGGTCCGTGGCAGTCAAGTTTATGAGGAGAGTACCAGGGGCAGCATCTTCTTGAATTTCTAGTGCTAGTGAGCTCTCAGCAAACACAGGGCTGTTGTCATTGGAGTCCAGGACATTGACCTTGACCAAGCTGGTGCCTGACTTGGGGGGGTTCCCACTGTCATAGGCAGTTAGCACCAGATCAAAAAATGAGTGGATTTCCCTGTCTAGCTCCTTCACCACCACAAGTTCCGCATGTTTGGTCTCATCAGGCCCCACGATGACATCCAGGGCAAAGTGCTCGCTGGGAGACAGCGTGTAGGAGTGCAGGGTGTTGGGGCCAGTGTCTGGGTCCAGAGCTCTGTCCAAGGGTATCCGGGTGCGCAGAGAGGCACTCTCAGAGATTTCCAGCTCCTGCTCGCCTTTAGGAAACTGTGGCTCATGGTCATTGATGTCCAGCACCTGGATCTCTACGTGGATCAGAGCCAAATCCCCTGTGGCAAGCACGTCAAAGGAAACCAAGCAGGGATCCTGCTGCCGGCAAAGCTGCTCTCGGTCCAGCCGCCTCCCTGTGCTAAGCAGGCCGTCCTCAGGATCCACCCGGATGGGGAGCGCCTGAGGCAGCTGCAAGATCTGGAAGGCAGTCCCCGTTTGCCCATTCCTCTCCTCCCAACCCAGTTCCCGGGACAGCTTGCCTATCACTGTCCCAGACGGCACTTCTTCTGACACTTGGTATCTCACAGTGAGAGTGGCCACCTCCTGACAACCCCCTGGAAGGAACAAGTAGCCACCTGGCCCCAAAAGCCCCAGCAGAAGTGGCAGAAGTCGTATCATGCTTACCGCCAGAGTGGGTTAGACTCAGAAACCACTAGAGTTCTTCAAAGGGTAGGCAAGTCCTCCAGTGTTTCCTGGGGGGCTTGATTAGCCCCGTTCGCCAAAACCTGTTGTCACAGCCTTGTCCCATAATTAGATGGTGATGGAAGTAGCAGGATTCCCAGGCAAGGCCATGTTCATCTGAAGAGATCTCAGAGGTCCAGGCACCGATGAAGTGAAACTGCTAAGGGAGACCCCACACAGGGGCACCCATTGGTCCCCTTCAGTAAATGATAGAAAGAGCCGGTCCAAGAGGGACTTGACCCAGTAAAGCAGGATGTGGGGATCTGACTTCCAAACAGTTGCTGGGCTGGGGAAATGGAGAAGCAGCTTTTTCCTATGGAAACCCCACCTACAGGAAAAGGGAGGGCTGTAAGTTTCAATGCCAATTAGAGAAAGAGTGTTTCCCCCACTGTCGAGTGGCCTGTGGCTGAGCAGGATGGGAGTCCCAGGACAGGCCCATGGAAAGGTGCTATCCACTCAAGGTGGCCGCCGAGGGAAGGGCTGCTGTGCAAACAAGTGGGCAGAAAGCCTGAGCCTCCGCCTGCCCCTGATACCCTTCCTGGCCGTGTCATGCACCCTGTGTCTCTCCTTTCCTCAGCTCTCTTTGATTCCCTCATATTCCCATTATTCCTCTCCCATTCCAGTCTTTTCCTTACACTCATCTATTTCAAAGTCTTGGCTCTGCCCGGATCACCCATTTTTGTCTCTTGGGAAACAACTGTGATTAAGAGAGTGACTGTCAGAGCCCAACTGTCTGGGTTCTAATCCTGACTCTGCAATTTACCAGCTGGGCCATGTGGCACAAGTCACTAAACCTCTCTGGGCCTCCTCCACTTCATCTTTAAAGTGTGTATGGGAATAAGAACAGTAGCACTCACAACAGGAAATTGTGAAGACCAAATGAAATGATGCGTGAAGGGCTGAGTCCTGGCTCAGAGTCACAGTCGATGAAGTTTGTGAGCAGTGGGTGTTGAGAACTGAATTGCTGGTCCCGCCTTAAGCTCTGGCTCTTCCACTGGCCCTGGGGCAGCCCCTGCCCACACAAACCCAGGAGGATGCCCATGGCCTTGGCTCCTGAAGCGCAGGAATCTCTCTGACCTGACCACGTGGCTTCCTCCCCCTTCCCTTCCTGCTCCCCAGCCTTCAGGCCCATTGTTTTCTGCATCTGGTCCTGCCTGAGTCCCTGTCTAGGGGAATCCCCGGCCTCCTGCTCCCCTGCCTCGGAGATTTTTATACTTTTCCCTCTCCCACGCCTTCCTCTCCTTATCCCTCCCTTCCCCTGATTCTTGTCTCCCCACTCCTGTTTATGACAGAGTCCCACGAACAGTACTCCTCTCCACCCCCGACACTCCTAAGGATGTGGATGTGTTCAGGTGTGCCCTCCCCCCACTCACTTCCTCACAACAGTGAGGCCCCCAGGATCACTTGCTGCCCCAGCACCATCTGTCTTACACCCTGCCTTGGGCTGAGTCTAGAGGTTTGTAAAGGATTTGAAATGATGGGAATTTAAGGCCAGCTTCCTTGAGGGGGTTGTTTGCTGCTGAGTCCTTGAAGCTGGAGGTACCCATTGGGACATGGGCCTGTGGGCCTATAGGACGGGGGCAGCTGAGGGAGCCCCATGGCCTTAGAGCCATCTCCCTTCCCTTCATCTTTTCTTCCCCACACCGGGTCCATGTTCCACTCCTGGATGTTTCCCGTCCATGTCACTTGTTGAACCACACACAGCAAGGGCCTGAATCCATGGGGCCATCTCCTACAGTATGGCCCTAGAGACAGAACACTCACAAGCTTGGAGACATTGTAAAAGTCCCTTAACCTCTCTGGGCCTCTGTTTCCTTCTCTGTAGAATGTAGCTTTCACCCACCTATTGAGGTTGTGGTAAGGATGCAACGAGATGATACCTATAAGGAGATAGGGAAGGCACTCATTGGGACTGTTACTGTAGCTTGTATTATTTCCCAGGTTTTATGCCTCCAATGCAAATGGTGAAGATGGCCTTGCATTTGTCCCTTCCCTCCTCATTGGCCAGGAAAGCTCACTTTCCAGGGCTTCCTCAGCTCAGGCTTAGGCCATGCTGCCTGTGCATCAGAGTGAGCCAGCACAGGCCCCATGTTCAGAGACGTGCCCTGTGCTCACCGCCCCTGGGTGATAACTTGCATGGCAACCTCGCTTCTTGGCCCTCATGTGTCCTATCATGTGCAAGGCAGCTAGCAAGACAAAGTGACCCACAAGGGGCTTGTAGTCGAAGGAGGGCATGGGGAAAAGGAAAGAAGTGGGTCCAGTGGCTCTGCATTCGGGCCTGGGGGTCAGGGGAGGCTCCTTCATGGAGGGCACTGGGCCGAAACCTGAAGACATGGAGGAGTTAGTCAGAGGAAGGTGGGTGAACAAAGGAGAGACTGAACATGCAGGGGGAGCTGAGTGGACAAAGGCCAGAGGTGAGGGATCTGGCTCCTTATAGTACCTCAAGAGGGCCTGTGTGAAGAAAGAGGAGGAAGAAGGTGGCCTGGGGACGTAAGAAGGGGCCGCCAGATCCTGGAGGGCCTGGGGTCCCATGCTAAGAATTTGGACCTTGTCCTGAAGGCCACAGGGGAGCTTTTGAATGGAGATGGCTCAGATGGCTCTGAGAAGGATGATGAAGACAGTAGCTATAGGCCAGGCCTTGTCCTGAGGTCTTTACCTACATCCTTCTGTGCCACCCTCATACCAAAGAAAGAAGCTGAGCACAGAGGGCTCGCTAACTTGCCCAAGATCACGCAAATTGGACCTCCAAAAAGCCCCTTGGGCTGCACTCTGGAAAATGGACTGGAAGAAAACAGAGGAGGGAGAGGGGGAGGGCAGTTGGGAGCAATGCAGGGGAGCTTTGGTGCAGAAAACTCTGGTGCAAAGAATGTTTCCAGAATGCCATCTGGTGGCCAAAGGCAGAGAAAAAGGTACAGAGGCAGAGAGGTGGGTGGCTAGAGTTCACGAATATCCATAGCTCTAGACCCATGCTTCATGGAACACAATGTAAGGAGCTTATCCCCGAAGACAATCGCTTCCTTTCAGGAGAAACCCGATGTCACCCAAGGCCCACTGAAAGAATTATGGAATTCATGATTTTACCTGTATTAACATTTATATTCTTGAAGGGACACTGTGATATCTATGCTCTGGGTGTATGTGTCGCCTTGGCTGTACCATGGATGCAAAAAGTGGTCTCACAGGTCACAAGAAAACTTGAATTTAGATTTCACAGATGGTTTTTATGGTTGTTGTTTCTTTTATTCACACTGGGGGCACAAAGCTGAGACAACCCTATAAGAATCCAAAGCCAGCAAACAAGGTGATTATCTCTGGGAATGAGATCCCCACTTAGTGATTTTCTCTCTTCCTTTCTGGCTGCGGGGATCAGTTGTTCTTTAGCAGTCATATGTCAAGAGGTGAATGGAGTTTGTCTGGAGAGCCCTCATCACTCTGAGTTTTGAAAATTGGTTTGAAGTCATGCAGGTACTCTCAAATAGGTTTGCGAAAGCTAAGGATGGCCTCCCTTATGTCCGAAATATTTTTTTTTTTAAAGAGGGCAGCATCAGGGCTGGTGTTTGAAAGCCTTGCTCACCACCAACTATGAGGTCATTCACACTTGGGCCCTTGGTTATGGGGAGGGGTTGGGGGACGAAGTGGGAGGGGTGGAGTCGGGATTTTTTCAAAACACTAGGTGTCCTGAGGAGACTTGAGTCAGACCAGCAAGGTGGGACTCTGACCCTTGGGGGGACTCCCTGCTCAGCTGGATGCAGGCTTAGGATCATACTCTAGGCTATGAACGTGCTGCTTGGCTGGCTTCCCACCCTCAGGGCTCCTTGTGAATCTGCCCAGCAGCTGCCACAGTCACCATCACAAGGCCACTTGGTGAAGCTCACAAGCTTCATCCTCCTTGGGATCATTCCTGTTGGGAGGATGACAGGACCACCCAAGGGCAGCCTCTTTCTTTTAGCAAGACCTTGTTGAAATTAGAGTCAGTCTGGCCAGGAATCTTGATGGGGAGACTCAGGTAGATGTTCTGAGTCTCCTGCCCCTGACATGGCACTTTGTGGTCTTTGGTGGGACAGATGACAGATGTCCACTCCCACACAATGGCACCTCTTTCTGGGCCCAGTGCAGAAAGAAAGATGTACTTTGTAGGGGAAAGTTTGCCAAGAAATAGAACTTTTCAAGGAATGAAAAGGCTTTGTGTTTTGGTTGTCTTGGTTAAGAGTGGTAGCTCTCAAAAAGGGCCAGGTGTCAGAATCACTTTTCTGAATTCCAGAGACAGGGCAAGAAAATTCAAATGTATCCCCTTCCCACCCGGCTGAAGAGAGTTTTATAACTGCCAGCTCCATTCCCTCTACCATCCCTTCAAAAAGTCTTCACCTTTTATTTGGGACAGAGTTGGGGAAGTTGATTGGAACTTGTTTCTGGAAAGAGAGGGCTTAATTGATCTACATAATAAAAGGAAAATAGGAGAGGGGGGTTGATGAAGGCCGAGGAAGTGATGGAGGGGGTACTGTGAAGGAAGGTAGCAACTTGAATTTGAGGACTTGTGAATGAATTGTTGTGAACCATGGGTCTCCTTCATGATTTTCAAGAAACATGCAAGAAAATACTTAAAATTTATTAGCTTTAGTAACCACAATGGGAGCACATAAATTCTGAGTTGATAAGGGTTACACATATTTTTTTTAATGTGTATTTATTTTTGAGAGAGACAGAGACAGAATGTGAGTCGGGGAGGGGCAGAGAGAGAGGGAGACACAGAATCCGAAGCAGGCTCCAGGCTCTGAGCTGTCAGCACAGAGCCCGAGGCGGGGCTCAAACCCACGAGCCGTGAGATCGTGACCTGAGTCGAAGCTGGATGCTCAACTGACTGAGGCATCCCATGTTACACATGTGTTTTGTCTCTCTCCCCCAACCTCAGAGGGAGAGTGGGCTACTTCTAGCACGTA